CGCATGATCACTTGATGCACCGCTATCTAAGTTTAGGAATCTATCGAAAAAAAAGAAATAATCGGCCAACCACGGGCTGTCTGTGCGAAGATGCGTTTTTTGCATAGTTCCCCACAGTTTTTGCCGCTAACGACACCGGTTTTTCCGGCAAATGCTTCTAGCTAGACAAATTAAGACCAGCCGCCAGAACTGTCAGGAAACACTCCCTTAAAATTCCAGTTTCCTAGCTTCCCAGATTCCCGAGCTAGCAACTTACCCGAAAAAATTCTCACGGGCCCGTACGTGGGTACCACGCATAGCCGGTGTCTGGGTTTGAGCTCCCTCATACATACTTGGATGGGGAATACCTCCTTAAAATTCCACTCCTTTAGTTTCTCTGGTCCTCGAGTTAACAACTTACCCGAGAAAAATTTTCACGGGTCCGTACGTGGGTACCACGTATACCCGGTGTCTGGGCTTGAGCTTATTATTAACAACTACGCGGGCGAGGAACTTCCTTTAAAATTCCAGTTTCTAGCTTCTCAGGTCCCGAACTAGCAATTTACCCGAAAAAAATTTTCACGGGCCAGCACGCGGGTTCCACGCATACCCAGGGGCTGGGTTTGAGTTCATTAACAATTACGCGGGCGGAGAACGTCTCCTTAAAATTTCAACTTCTCTGGTTTCTCTGGTTTCCGATTTAGCAGTTTGCCCGTAAAAAAAGAGTTAGCAGAGTGGGTACCACGTGGGCAAGAGCGCCCATTTTAGGGATGGGGGTCCGTACACGCATGTAGATTAAAAATTCCAGCCCTGTAGCTTTCGTAGGTCTTGAGACGAGAAATCGGTTCAGACGAACACATAGACACCTAAACACAGACAACCCCTCGTCAATATGCGTTTTCTGCATTGAATAGCTGCAAAAAACGCATAAAGACGATAAGTGTTCATATTATTGGCACGAAAATCTCGAAGATGAAGATGCAAAAATAGAATAGGCAAACAAAATGAAAAAATTCGGCACACTATAAACAAATTATACGTGAAGTAAATGTGACGGTAATTTATCCGATAAGACAATAAAAGACTAACTTAGTGTCATCCTTGGGTTTTTCCTGAGTAGCACAAACACCAGAAGCAGAATCCTTCTCTGCGGCGTCACCGGAACTGTTCGTTAGGCTCGGATAAGCTACACCCGGAACAGAACTGTATATCTGTCTATCCTGCTGTACTCCACCCGTTGCTAGGTTCAATAAATTATTGTTTAGTGCACACGTGGCCCCCAATGTAGATGACGACAGCGCTGTTGCTCCGTTTGTCAATGGCGACAACACGTAATTGGCGTGATTTTGAACGTTACGTCCACGTGAACGTCCACCTTTTGCTCGAGAACAAGTGGCGGCTGAGCTCGGGGCCAGCACTAAAACACATGTGCAGCTTCACACACTTACACCGCAGTGCACTAGTAGTAAAGTGATGAAGTAAACAGGACTGGTTAGCCTGCGCTGATAAGGTTAAGGGACGAAAAACTGAGGAAAGAAGTTAACTGAAGGCCTTTAGGTATATTGTGGCGAAAATCAGAACCAGTACATAAAAAAGACAACTGCTAAAGCTAAAACCAGCCAAGCGAAAGCGACCACTGGGATGGCACTCGCCTACACCATTTTAACGCAGGCCCCGAACCCATCTGGGAAGAGTACAATACAAATCCGATCCGCGCTTTTTGAACCTACTGTTCACTCCAGATGAATATAAAGGATAGACAATGAAAAAAGGGAGAGAACAAAGTACTGAACTTTGTCGCATTTTTTTCTAAAACCGCAACTACTGCTGAAAACGGATGCCATTCGATCCTCGGAGGACCAGTCCGGAAAATACAGGAAGAAAATTTAAGCCACAGAACAGCCTAAAACTATCCGTAGCAACAGCAGCTTTACCGAATTTAGACATGCATTATTTGGCTGGAAAATGGTCGCATAATGAAAACGAGTATCATTTCGTTAAGAAAACACCAAATT